TCAACTAACATTTATTTTAAGTTTAAACTATCTTTCCTGTCAAGCCTTACTTTCCCCTGGAATTGCCAATGCCAGAGTATGTAAATTTTAGTAGAACGCGCAAGGATTCAAATTGTCAGCGGAAGTAATCTGAGTTAAATAGAAGGGAAACGAGTTCGAAAGTGTGCTTTCCTGCTTCACGAGCGTGGAGGTGGCTAGTTAGAAATTGAAGAACCACGCGTTTCGGCCTGTTGCTTGCATCGACAGTTTGTTAATCTTTCAACGTAATATTCAGAAGTTTGATGAATTATCAGCGGTATCTTAGAACGCGGTGAGGTTAGTTACGTTTAGAGAGCCTCGTAGTTAGTCACTTGTTATTATCTCTATTCAGTTTCTTATTTTTATTTTACCGCCGGGTCGGCGTAGTTTGTGAGCGTCAAGAGCACGCATTTGTAATTTCTAAAGTTGAATAAAAAGGGATTTAAACCCTTCTCAAGACTTTGTCTACTTTCCAGTTCTCAGCAGTCACCACTATTGTTGCGTGCAGGTTGGAAGCGCGCAACATTACAAAGTTATTTTAAAAGTTAATTGAAGATGGTTCGAACGCTTGCATGCATTTCACAATATGAATTTGGTACAGGACAATAATGTGAATCCTATATTCCCACTGGGGATTGTTTTCAGAAACGAAGACCTTTTCTTCCTAAATAATGAGGTTCCTCCAACAACGAGAGATTCAGGTAGCTAAATACTAGTAGTTCGATCCTAGGCTGAGGATCTGACGGCATGGTTGGTTTTCATGATTTCCCCATTTTTAACGTGAAAACGACTCAGTTTCCTTTAGAAAATCCTCCACAAAGACATCCTTTTTCTTATACAGATTGCCCTCTTGTGTTTTCCCCTAGTCAAAAACCTATAACCTACAACCTCATGAATAGTGAGATTATGAAGTCTCACCAAAATGTTTATGACCCGAAAACCGTATGTCCTAACATCTAGGATATAATAACCGTGGGTCCCATTTCCGTTGATAAGACACGAATTTGCTCAAAGTTCCTAGAAGTCAGTTTACCGGATTTAAGCTCATTATCAAAAGCAGCCACATCTTCAGGTGCAAGGGTAGTACTATAAATATAAATAAAGCTTTTCATCAAAGCCTCTGCAGAACCAATGAAATATGGGTCAGAATTTGCGCATACGTATTTGTGCTCGTAATCAAGATTTCCGTGGGGAGAAGGTATCGTGTGTCTTAGGGTCTATCTTACCACGTAATTTCCCTCTCCCCCTTGGCATTTTGTAACTCGTAAACTTTCTTTCGTTCAGACCATGGAAATGGAGCAGTGGCAGTACTTTTACATATATAATATGCAAGCTAAAAAATATATAATTCTGAATCATACTTTAAATTAACAATAGTCCCTTATTTGCTCTTTTTAATATACACCCTCCTGAGTTCCAAGATTAGTAACAATTTGTCGAAATTACGTCATATCTGAAAACTAATTTCCGCATTATGGTATTTTAACATTGCGTGAAGTTCTTAGCCATTGTAAGATATCAAAATATGAAGGGTTCTTTAAATTCCTCATTTTAATTGCATACATCCCCTCTTCAAGGCTGTATGTGGCACAATGTTACATCACGCTTTCATTGTAGTAACCGCGATGTGAAATCTTTTGCCCAGTCACTGTGTAAGATTAAAACGAAACGCTTTGAAATTATAAATAATCCGATCACGATATACGCCCTTTTTTTTTTTTTTTTTTTTTTTTTTTTGTTAACTAAAGGACGTTTCTTGCTTAGCTGCTTCTATTGTTATTAAAAATGTAATACGCCATAATCAAAACTGTGGGTTTAGATTGCCCCCATTGTGCTATGCCATGCCACAGATTAATCATCAAGTAATAACGATATATCTGAATTATCAATTGATTTTGTAATTCTTCAAAAGTTCGCGGCATCTCCTATTATGTAATTGATATTTTAAGGATTATCTAAATTGAATCCATTCCCGAGTGCAAAATAATTGGTGTCTTTCCTAATGAAGCACTCGTCTAATATCAAATTACCTACAACGAATTAAATTATCGTCACAATTTAGCCGAATATCCAAGAAAGATAAAAATATGTAATTTAAATAAGCAGAAGTCTTTTAATGCTTAATTTTAATTTGAGTATTTCCTCTCTGTGTTCTAAAAGCAGTAATCTTTATCAACACTGCGTCATTTCGAGACTAATCCATGTCATATGACTCTTATATAACGATGATCACATAACTTAAACCGAAACCTTTCCCTTAATAAGCCTCCATAATGGATACGCACTTGCTTTCTGCACTTCGGCCTAGCTGGACTGCTGCTTGCTGCTTCTCTTCTTAATGCAAAGCTATCAAAAATGCAAACGCTTTGAAATAGGCACGAATTAGAGTGTCAAGTTGTTTGTGGCCGCAGCATGTTTACTGAAATAAAGATGAATATTTAATCTGTCTCGGCTACCTAGTTTGCTTTTTATTACGGATCAACATCTCAACATTTGCGCTATCAATATTTCCTATAGCACTACATATGTGATTTTTTTTTTAAGAAACTATCACCAAGCTACTTTTTAAAAAAGTTTTATTTAAACTCTTTTAGAAGCGTATGATATTGACAGCTCTTGAAAACTTATGGAAGGGCTTAAAGTAGAAATAAGTTTTGGAGTATTGACTCAGTCTTTTAAAACCTTTCCAGTCTAAATCTTTAGTGCCCTATATTTAATAAATGCTTGAGAGCATGAATCTTTACAATTTTTTTTTATATTTTGCGTAATATGCATGTCTGAGATCAATATTAATCCTTTGAACTGTAATTATTTGCTATCAGGGAGGTATCTCTCTTTTTTTTTTTTTTTTAATATATAGTCAAAAGGGGTTTTGTCCCTAAAGGACTATTGTTTTCGTTTTGCGATTTTGCTTTGAATCACTATAAATGTCCGTTTCACTTTTCAAACTGTTGCCACCAAATTTTAAAGTCTTGCATTATATTTGAAGAAATTAAATAATGAAGAATCTGCATAAATGTATGTATGTTTCTCGCATTATGCTAAAACAAGGGTACCTAGAGGCATCCAATTTTGAATGACGTAATCCTACTGCGAATATGGACATCTGAAAGCCCAAATTTGGAATTTGTTTTATTATCGATTTCATATTTTGTAAAATTTTAAAGACGTTTCGATTAACAAACTCAACAAAGAGAGCAATGTCAACACTCTACGGAATATTATTGAGTGGATCATAATTGAGTTGATTTATTCAATTACGGCAAAACTTGGTAGGACTATTCACCTACGTGGGAAGACATTTTCGAGGAGATCGTTTTCAGGAAAATTGGTCCATTGAAATGGTATGCAAGCAGAGAAAACTTATGCTTATAATCAGGAGTAGAATTTTTAAACTCGATTGCAAAAGAATTTGCGAATATGATAAATGTATTATGAAATATTAAACGCTGTATGTGCCATTTTCGAAAGAATTAGGTAACATTCTCTAGTTTAAAATGTCAAATTACTATAGCGGAAGTTAAAGTAGCTAGAGCTAAGAGCTGCATTTGTCCATTCATACTCAAATCGGAACGCGAATGATTTTACAATTTTAATTGAAGCAAAACATCTCAATACTTCTTACGAAATGAGGAATGCCTTCAGTTGGAAATATTTTATATAACAGAAAAAGTTTCTCGTATTCATGTTACACATTAGAAAAGCCATAAAAAAACTTTTTTTTTATAACAACGTTTGTTATTGAACTTAAATATCAAAATATTACGTACATAATATGAACTTAAAGGTACAAAATAATCTCTTAATATACTCTTTTTTTACTCTTAATATACTAAGTTTTGGATTTTGGATCCGAACCATTTGCTGATTGGAGGATGTTAAGGTTAAAACTACCTTTGTAGCTGTAAGATATCTAGGTTAGTGCAATTTATCTTGCGCAAGGCGAGTTTCGGCGTAATATTGAAAAAAATATTCAAAAAATGGAAAATAGTACAAACTTTTAAATTTAAGTACTAGATCCATATATAAAACATTAATATTTTAAACTAAACAGCAAGAGTTTCAAATTGCTATACCAAATTTAAAATTCTTACATATTAAATCTCAATATTAAAGCAAAAATGTATTTTAAGCCTGCAAAAATATTCAAATTTTCTTCACTAGAAGAACAAGTAAGTAATATAAATTTATTTTGAACTCTGTCATCGTACGATTGCAGCAAACGCTTCTTGGTATAATATGGGTTCCTACAAATTTTCAGACTAAACCCTGGAATTTTAAGGCAGAAATGTTAAGCATTTTAAATCTTTCGGGCAAAAACAGGGATAGATTAGAAAACTACAATTTTAAGTGAAATACTACAAAGGATAAAAATATAGAAATCAACCATCAATAGTTATTTACACCAATTATATAATCACTATCAATATAACCATTATAAGGCTTGATAAATAATTCATTAGTTTATTTCAACATTTCTTCTAGCATGAAAATAGTTTCGTTTAAAATAATATAACAAGATATTTTTAGCAATTACATTCAAGCTTTATATTCGTTTTTGTTAATGTTTTAACAAGAAACAAAAAGGAAAATTTCTTAATCTCTACTATCGGATTAATAATCTCTTTAAAAATAGATATCTGCTATTTTTAATTTATTTTTAACTTCTAGAAACGAAATCTACAGTATCATTAGGTTAGGAATTTAAAACTGTTTTTTAAAATTCATTTAATCAAAATAGATGCATATAAAATATGGATTAAAATAAACAACATAATTCTCGATATTTGATGATTAAATTTCTTCTAATGTTACCAGCAAAGAATTTAAACTTCACTCCTTTTCAATTTTTCGATGTTTTAAATTTATTAGAAAATAAAATAATGAGGGAAAAAAGTATTTTACTTATTCAGATACTACAGAAATATTCTAGTCAATCTTAAATCGAACGTTTTCGATAATTTTCGATAATATATCCTTACCTTCAAACTAATGAAGATTCTCAGAACTCCCGAGAAACAACGCACGTGAAACCGGAATAGCTGTTAGTAACGAACTTCGTTTTTCCTGAATTTGTCCCGTTTTCATAATCTGCGCCATCTGGTGACGGGGAATTGTGTTTACCTTTGTCCGAAAGCTCAAAATTGAATCCAGTAATTTAATTTAAAAAACTTCCCTATCAAAATCGATTCACATCAAGTTTCTCCGCGTTTTACTTCTGTTTGAACTTAACAGCGTGACTGCAAACTAAAAACAATATGTGACATGTTTTCATTTCTAATTTTTGAGCAAGACACGTGTATTTCGCATGGGTAGTCAAATCAAATCACGTTATATATTAAGTTGCGGAGAAAAATTTAGTATAGAATCAGAAAGCTAGATCCCTCGATCGTTCTGAACTTTTCGCCGACATCAAATATACACTTCACTTCAAGAAATGCTTTAAAATTTAAAAAAGGGATAAAACGTATTTAAAGAAACTTTTTCTATCGGATCCTTCAAACCTCACTTGAACATCTGTTAATATCAGGGCTTAACTTGTAAAACTAAAAGTGAAGTAGCATTGAAAAAAGCTATTAGGAAAGGTAAAAATGAATAAAATAGCAATAACAATAATTAAAAGAATAAATAACGATAAATTTAAGGAAGTAAAATATTAAGAGATATATATAAATGAGGAAGCAAATTACAAGGTATTTTGTCTCGCCTATTAGCGTGCATTTGAGGTGTAATGGTCAGCACACTTGGCGTGCATTCGAGAGGTCCAAGTTCGAGTCCCGGCGAGGGTATTGCTTATTTTCATGTAATCCTGCTTCACAAAAAACCTAATGTCTCTACAGTGGCGCCTGAACTAAAACGGTGGTAGGTGATGATTCTTTACCATCAGGAATGTGTGTGTGTGGGGGGGAGGGATTGGGTCCCCTAATTCCCAGTCGTCCTTTAATTTTCTCTCTTCTTTCTGCATGCTTTCGTGGTGTAATGGTTAGCACACACGGAGCGTATTCGAGAGGTCCAGGTTCGAGTCCCGGCGAGGGCATTGTTCATCTTCCACGTTTCCTGCATCAAAATTTCTAATGGCTGCACAAAATAAATACTCAAACTATTTTAATTAAAATTAGTATCTCATACAGATTAAATGGAATTATAAAACAAACGGATTGTAAGTAGATCAATATCAGTACGTCAGTAGAACATGATAACAAGGGTAAATGAAAAATAAATATTTAAAGAGTTTTTCACTTCATTAAAAATGTGGACTATATTTTTCATTTAAATATTTTGGAATATAGTACCCGTAAATTTCTAATACTAATAATAATATGAAGAATTTTGTAACAGAAACATTGGATCAAGCGTAGAATTGTTAAATACAAGTGTGTAAATGTTGATTAGAGTTTACATTTCGTATCAGTTACATCTTCATCACTAAAGCTAGTTACAAAAATAGTCTTTTAATTCGTATTTTATAGCAATGTACAATTGGAAAAAGCATTTTTACCATGTTTCCAGTAATACCGTGTGATCAGTTTTCATGTCGCTGATGGGCCAAACCTTATGTCTTGAGGTTTATAAGGTGTCTTAAACTTTATATCTTTTCATATAATATAAAATGGATTGAATTTCCCTCTAAATGCGAGGGCTCGACTTAGCAACATGTCGACTTAGCTACATGGGAGACGTTTATTATATCTCTGATGTTCTTTGTATTCCTTATACTCGGATTTCAGGCAGCGTGTTTGAATGTTTAATGTCGTCAAGCAAAGTAAGGCATGCATTCAGTATCTAGTTTCAGTATCAATTTTACTTAATATTATAAGAACTAAAACAGGGACAACGTAATCAAATTTTTATTGTTGAACAGGAATAATAGCTTTACTTGTTGATATCGCGATTGAATTTCCAGCAAATAAATGGCAGAATTGATGATACCTTTAGGGTTTCTGAGAAATTGAGATTTTTCAAAATGCTTAGGGGAACTCGAACCAGACGCCTCCTGGATTTAAGGCCAAATATGCTTTAAGCTTGCACGTGAACCGTGCGGCTCTGTAAAAGGGCCAAGGAGAAATTTTTTAATAAAATGTGAATTATTTGCCTGTAGCCAGGACCAGCGCCAGAACTGGTGCAACTGGTGAACTGGTGCAAAGTAAAAGGAGGCAATTTTTAAGCTTGGTGCCTCTGCTATTCAAAGTGTCACGGAAACAAGCCATCAGTGTTACCACATATTTCGATGTCAAATTCATTTCCGAGGCTATTTCAATTTTAAATTTGTTGCAGCATATGATTAAGACATGTGGAGTATTCAAACATATAACTTTGTTATGATGATAAACAGTGGGCTTTTATAATATGAGAAGTTCCCCCCCCCAATGGCGGGCCTTCAGCCGACTTCGGCTTGGCCACTACTAAAGCCAGAAGTCTTGGTCACTTTATTATGGAGGCACCTAATAGGTGGGCTAGCCTGCTCAGTGGTGCTATATGCTATATATATGAAGGGAAGGACACTTACAACAATGCCTTCTCGAACCCAGGCTCTTTGGTATCGCAGTCGGCTTCCCTAACCAATAGACCGTCTGGGCGGCATAATATGAAAAGTAAATGAAAGATTTTTACGCAACGAGGATTAGCAGTAGCTCCCTTTCGAGCTCCGACCTCTGCCGCTGGATAGTGACAATTCGTGGTTTTCCCCATTTGTGACGTGAATACGAGATTAGTTTTCCTTAAAAGTCTTCCATGAAGCCATCCCTTCCCTTAGATTAATATATCTCGAATGTTTTTCCAATGTTTGAATGTTTAAATAATCTCAGTTCTTTTGAGCTCAGATTAGTCTGAATGTAATGGAAATAACAATAAATGAAAAAGTCTCTTAAACATTGATAAAAGCTTTAAATAAATCGTTATCAGACATGCATTTGCAAAGTACTGTAATTTTTCAACTGCTGCTGTAAAGAGAAAAAAATGATATAGTTTATTAGCATCAGTTAATCATAGAATCCCATAAATAAATTTATTTATAGTTTAAAATTTAATGCTGTTATTTTAACATTATCTACATAATTTTCGGATGTTAATATCATAATACACTGATGTCTAAATTTATCTTTACATAGCCAAAAGTAATGATATTCCATGAAATATCCATTTCCGCAAGGGATGGGTGAAAGACAAGCCTAATTATCACTATACACTCAAGAGTGATCAAACGGTTTCTGATATGCAAATTAAGACGCTACATCATCTGATGGTAAATCAAGGGCTTTACACAAATTGAATATCTGAGGCCGCCCAGACGGTATAGTGGTTAGGGGAGCCTGACTGCAATACCAAAGGGCCCGGGTTCGGATCCCGGGGATGGTGTTGGTGTATTTAATTATGGCAAAGCACACGAGGGCTATCTGCCTAAGGGGAGGAATGCCTTCGTGGAGGACTTACTAAGGAAAACTGGCTCGTATACACGTTACACATGTGGAGAACCACGAAAACGCCCATGCAGCCAGCCCGTTCGCGGGATTCGAACCTCGGACCGAACTACCAGTGTTTAGCAACTTTACCGCTCGTCCGCTGGCGGGCCACGGATCCCGGAGAAAGCATGGATGTAAAATTGTCTGTCCCTTCATAGGAGGTAACGGTGGCCGCCTATTAGGTGCCTCCATATTAAAATGGCTACCACTTCTGGCCTTAGTATAGGCCAATGCCGTTATAGGCAAGTGCTCGCCATTTGTAAAAAAAAAAATATATATATATATATATATTGAATATCTGAGTGAATTTCTGCAATTCAGCGTTTTATTTCAATGTTTAAGAACTTAAGACGGTTTTATATTACTCCGAAGTATCATTTGGAAAAAACTGTGAAGTAGCGAATCATCTGTCGTTTAAAACCAGGGCAAACAATCTTGGAAGCAATGAAATGTGTGTATTCCGAGACACACAGTCTTTCACGCTATGGAAACAATTTCAGTACTCTGGAACTGTTGTAAAAGGCATGGACTAGGTCATAAACGAATAACAACTGCTTCTCAAGACCGATATCTGGCAATAACTGATCGACAATTAAGTTCAGAGCTTGTAACCGTCACTGGAATTGTTGTATCATGCCAAACGATAAACAGAAGGCTTAATGGAAAAGGCCTTTGCGCCAGAAAAGCCAAGGGTATGCGTTTCACTGTCTTGACAACAAAAGACGAATCTCTTTAATTGACCGTTGACTGAACACCAACGGCTCCATGTTCTCTTTATTGATGAGTGAGTTTAACATCTGATTCTAAACGAGTTTGCATCTGAAGAGAGTCAGGAACGCGAAAGCTGTCTGCGAACATTATGGACCGTGACCGTTTCGGAAGTGCAGGTGTGATGGCATGGGGAGGAATAATAATGGATAGGCGTACGCAATTTTAACAGCAGATCTGCTACCGGTCAGAGATATCGAGATGAGGTCTTAGAACCTTATGTAAGACTTTTCAGAGGTGAATATGGATGTGACTTTTTATTTATTGACGATAATGCTCATTAACAAAAAGAAACCTTGTTGACGAATTCCTTGAAAGTGAAGACATTAAGCGAATAACGTGATCAGCAAAATCTCCTGATCTTAATCCGGTAGAGAACTTACGAGACTATCTTGTAAAAGCACAGAGCCATCCTCCTCCTAAAGATGTCAATGCTCTAAATACTGCATTGCTGGAGGAATGAAAATGAATTCCCGAAACTTTGGTTAACAACTTTATTGCCAGCATGAAAACACGTTGTGGTATGCGGGAACAAGTCAGGGCAGATCACATTCCACATTAAATTCATGTCTTATTTTTCCTTGAGTTATTCTTTTTTTTTCCTAAACTCTCTTTATAATATATTATTACCATTTTTCTTCTTTTATGCTGCAGTTTTATATCATATGCAAAGCTCTTAAAGTTTTTTCTTTGTATTTTTGAGCTACGATGTTATGTATCATTCCATACAAATTCATGAAATTATAGTTCACAGTAACTCTGAGAGTTACAGTTCTGATAAATCCGTGATTCATGAGTGTAAAGATCATTTTGGACAAGAGTGTTGTTGAGAC